TGTGTGTGTGTGTGTGTGTGTGTGTGTGTGTGTGTGTGTGTGTGTATACAGCAGATGCAAAAGGGGTGGTGCTGCAAAAGGGGCAGGAGCAAAGGCTCCCATGAAAAGGAAACCATCTTGGCCTGCATAACATGCATGTTTCCTTTCAGGGAAACGAGTGCTCATGTGATGCTTGTGTTGGAGGGGAGAAATGGGGAAGTGAATGCAGCACCCAAAGACTTTGTAGAAGAGAAGAGATCAGGAAATAAAAGCCAGCATAGAAAGATCCAGAGAGAAATGGCAAAGAAGTAAGATCTGTATAGAAGCACAAACAAGGATTCTGAGGCCTCCACCATGGCCTCTCGGCGAACTGAAGATGAGTGCAAACCCCTGTTCAAGCAGAAAGAAGCCCAGCTCAATGGGCCAGCCCCATCTCCCTTTGAGGGCAGAAAGGCTGCCTGTCTGGCTGTGTTGCTGGTGGAGATCCTGGAGCGGGCAGCTTTCTTTGGTATCGTCTCCAACCTTGTCCTGTACCTCAACAGCAGCACCTTTAACTGGGGTGGCTCTCAGGCTTCTCAGGCAGTTTTGATCTTCATAGGTGCCTCCTATCTGCTCTCACCCATCGGGGGCTGGCTCGCCGATGCTTACCTAGGCTGCTACTGGACTATTGTCTTCAGCTTCCTGCTCTACCTTGTCTCAGCATGCCTGTTGCCCATTGTGGCCTCACAGGACGGGCGCCTCTGGTTGTGTGGAGAGATGCCATCATACCCAATACAGCCTTCATGCCAAGATGACATGTCCGAGTGTAAACAAGAGCTTCCGAGTCCATATTGCGCCCCGCTCCTGTACACTGGTCTGCTGATCATGGCCCTTGGCATCAGCTCCGTCAAAGCCAATCTCATTCCATTTGGTGCCGATCAGGTAAGAGATCATCTTTGGGATCTATCCTTTATTTATTTATTTATTTCAAGGCAAGCAATTTGGAATTATTACTAAATTTTTCACTGGGTTGCTGGGATGGTTCTATCCCAATAAGCCTCAGAGTTTTGCCTTTAAAACGTGCTTTGATGTAATGTAATGTCTTTCATTATTTTTCGTTTACTGATTTCACATAGTTGTGCAATATTTTTTGATACACATTTTCTAAATGATGGCCATCTAAAACAAATTCAAAGCAGGAAGACTATAGGAAGACACAACAGTATTTTGTTTTAATTAGACAAAAATAGAAAAGGCCTCTGAAAATGAAAGGGGTTTTACCCCAGGATTGAAAAGGCACACCTTGGTGGCTGGCAAAGCTCTGAGGGACAAAAGAGTTTTAGAACTCAAGAATGTTAGCAATCTTGACATCATGATACTCTCTTCCCCATCAAAATTATCTCTAGACCAGGTAATTAAAGTAGCAGCACCCTTAATGCAAATGTGAGAGTGATTAACAGCCTTGGAGGAATCCTGGGAATCATATGACACCCACCCACCCCCAAATATATCTTTAGAGTGGTGAGAAGAGCACCCAGTAAACCTCCTGTAAAACAATGGGGAAACAATGATCATAATCAGTGGTTAATCTGCTGCGTGGAAGCAGAGACAACTGTTAAGCAGGATGATAGGGGTTTTTTTTCCTTTGAAAATCAAGTCCCATAGCATTTCTGTAATGCTAATTTTTCATTGTTTCCAGAAATCCTGGAGTTATTCATTTATCTCTCTTTTTCAAATCATAAGAGTCTTTCTCCACTGTTTAATTAAAATGGTGGCCTTATGTTGTCAGGAAATTTACTGTCCCTTGCGTCAATCTCTATCCCGTCTCTGAGTCACATCCAAATGGTGTATTTCCCAATTGACACAAACCAATATTACAGCAAAATGACAATACATGTATAATGACACCATAAAATGATTTCCAGAGTTGCATTCTGAGGTCTGATAGAAGTATATAGGTCATGGGATTTGTGTCAGGAGGACACACATATTGTTACTTGTCCCCCCTGCTGTTTCTATGGATGCCTGTGGGGTTGATCCCTAATGATAGTCGTGCTTTGTTCCTGTTCCTTTCAAATCATCAGTGGAGGGGAAAAATCCAGTGATCAGAGCACAGCAGCAGGAATAGGGGAGACCTGGGTTGGCTAAATGGACTAGAACAATTATACTTCCTTTACTCTAAATAAAATGTTGGTGGTCTGCTCTTTTGTCCTCTGTTTTGTTGGAAGCTGGGGGAGAAGCTGGTGTCAAATCAGAATGGAAGATGGGGAGATGACTGCTCTAAAAGGAATTTGGGAAACAAAGTGTTAATGGAGAAGACTAACTCTGGATGAGGAAGATGCCCAGTGACCACAGAGGGTGCGCTTCTGCTTTCCAGCCTGTCTCTGATAAGATCCACAATAGCTGACTGTGCCTCCAAGCTAGTGTATGGCAAGGCATGAGAGATTTTACACCTCTTGGGATAATGTTGGGGGGGGGGGGTATACTGCTTTAAGACCAGTATACCTAATTAAGATTTAAAGTTGTTTCATGCACAACCTGTAGATTATATGAAGGCAATATCATGGAAACAAACATGTGACTCAGTGGTGGGATTCAAAAAAATTTACTACCAATTCTCTGGGTGTGGCTTGGTGGGCCTGGCAGGGGAAGGATACTGTAAAATCTCCATTCCCTCCTCACCCCACTAACCTACTTTCCAGCTCCGTTCTCCTGTGCAAGGCAACAAAAGAAGACCCAGCCAATCAGCTGGGACTCGGGAGGCAGAGAATAGATGGGGGTGGAGCCAGTCAGATATGGTACTTGCAGTTTCTCAGAACTAAATTTCCATTACCGGTCAGTGGTGGGATTCAAATTCGGTTCTGTGGCCATGGCTTGATGGGCGTGGCAGGGGAACGATACTGTAAAATCTCCAGTCAGAGATGGTATTTGCAGGTTCTCCAAACTACTCAAAATTTCCGCTACCAGTTCTCCAGAACTGGTCAGAACCTGCTGAATACCACCTCTGCTACTGGTTCTCCAGAACTGGTCAGAATCTGATGAATACCACCTCTGATGTGAATGTTGTGCAAAGTTACACAAGCAAGGCTAAGGGCCTGTTTTCAGTGCCACTTATTTCCTCCACAGCTGGAAGAGCAGTGCCACTTGCAAAAGGAAGGTTTTAATACCCACCCACCATTCCTTCTCTTGCCCACCAGCCAACAATTATCCTTTCCTTTATCAAACGTACACCTCCATATCTTCCTATATGCAAGGAAGCATATGTAAGAAGGAAGCGAAGGGAAGGGAGTGGAGAGATAAAGAGAAAATCGGCTAACTAGAGATATTTTGCTGGGCTTAGCATATTAAGGACTAAATCAGGAGAATCAAACCTCATTCTGTTCTCTCTCTTTCTATTTTTTTTTTCCATTGCAGGTGACAGACTGTGGCCAGGAAGCTACCCGACGTTTCTTCAACTGGTTCTACTGGAGCATTAACATTGGGGCTGTGCTTTCGCTGCTGGTGATTGCCTTCATCCAACAGAATGTGGGCTTCCTGATTGGCTATGCCATTCCTGCTGTCTGTCTGGCCGTGGCCCTTGTAATCTTCCTTCTGGCTGCCCCCATCTTTATCACAAAGCCAGCTGCTGGCAGTCGAGTCTTCACTGTGTTGCATTTGACTCTCCAGAACAGCTGTTGTGGCAAAGCATTGCAAAAGGTGACCCTAAAAACCAGGTAAGGCAGACAGAGGCCACTTCGCACAAGGTGGCTTTATGACTGTCATATATTTCTGGTGGCCTGTGAGGATAAGTGTCATCTCTATGCTAGCAGCTATCTTCATGCATTGGAACTGAATGAATCTCAGCAGTGCATTTCCATCTGCTTGGACAAGGCCTTTGAAGTAAACTTGGCTTTGCTGAACTTAGGACTGGGTCATACACTTCTTTAAATCTGTGACTCTCCCTGCAAGGGGTCAACAGGCAAATAATTGCAATTACTTGGGTACATGTTCAGGAGAAGGAAATTGTAGAACTACTGAGTAAATACAGATTTTATTGTTTTTATGGTGCCGATGAATTGTCTTGTGAATTGTCACCAAAAAAAAAAAGACCAGATGTAATCTAGTCTAAATACTAATGGACTTTGCTTTCTGCTTGCAGAGCATATTTTTTTAAAAACCAAACATACACGAGGAAGCATTATAAAATGGCAATCCTTAACAGCAGTTTGAAAAGATGTAGCTCATTTTACCAGCTTAAGGTATATCCCACCTCATCCTGCAGCTACACCATTTTGTCCTAAAGGGATGAACTCTTAATTTATTTCATCTTCTAATTGGCTTATATGCAGATGTGGTATTTAGCAGGTTCTGACCAGTTCTGGAGAACCGGTAGTGGAAATTTTGAGGAGTACGGAGAACCAGCAAATACCACTTCTGACTGGAGATTTTACAGTATCTTTCCCCTGCCATGCCTACCAAGCTACGCCCACAGAACCGGTAGTAAAAAAAAAAAAAGAATTCCACCACTGCTTATATGGATGAATGAAACTCCATGGTTAAAACCATGGGTGGAGAGAAAGAGAGAGATCTGTTCTATTATTATTTGGATTTGATGATTGGAAATTGTATAAGAAGAGGCATCAAATAAGGAGGAGGAAATCTGCAAATTGCATTCGGATAGTGTTCCTGACCATAGCAATTTTAAGATATGTGGACTTCAATTCCCAGAATTCTTCCAAAGGCAATAATATGTTGGGGTGAGGCAGTCAGAAGTTATTTTGGCAGGTCACAATCGGTAAATCCAGACAATGCATTAATGGCTTAGCATTCTGGGTGATCCAGACAAATTGTGGTTTGTTCATTGAAGTGGTTAAATATCATACCATAACTCAATGTTTGAGGGCTGAATCAGAGCAGTGGTCCATCCAGCTCAGGAAAAACATTAACGGTTATCACTTTTCTATGATTTTAGATTTTCCCAGCCGTGACCAGAATTGCTAGATGAAATTTTTGCATTCAAATCATGAACCAAATTACTGAGCAATGTCCTGTCCCCACGAGGTTTCTCTGACAGTGTGAACAGTAGGAAGAGAATTGCTCCCTTTGCTAACAAGGTTTAAGCACTTATTTATAAGATATAATTGCCTTTCCTTCAGGAGCCCCTAGCAATGTACCAAGTTTTTCCTTCTCCTATTTCACCCTGCAACAGTGGCCCTTTGGGGTAAATTGAGCAAAGAAAAAAATGTTTCCATGACTAGGAATTGAATCTGGGTCTCCACAGTGCCAGTCCAATTCATTATCACTAGGTTGGCCCCACTAGGTAAATCAGATCAGGAAATCAGCTCCACAGGCAGGCTGATTGCAATGTATCTTTTCTTCCTCCTTTTTTAAAAAAATAATTCAGTGAACTAGAGAGGTGTCTGCCTGAGCCACTTCTGAATATTTTCTCATTATTCGCAATAAGGTTTCAATCCCTTTTGCCTAGGCAATCAATTCTACTGGTAGTCCTCAATTTATGACTATAATTGAGCCAACAATTTCAGTTGTAAGTTAGGACAGTCATTAACATGGGAGCTGTATGATCAGACCTGATGTTACAAACTTTTTTGTGGGGGTCATTAAGCAAATACAGCAGACATTAAACAAACATTGGCCAACACATGCCAGTTTCTGGCTAAAATATTGTAAATTATTATCGGACATTGGAACTTCAAATCTGGGTTGTAAGTAGAGGGGTGTTTTTTTTTTTGGGGGGGGGGGGGTCTGTTATAATTTGAAATAATCTGTTCCCTGTCTGGTGCCCTCCGGTGAACAGACAACAGCTTCCTGTTGATTATGGCTGTGGATTATAGGATATGTGATCTGTTCTATCTAGGAGCTGGCTCTCCATTTTGGGGAAAGTTGTTTTAGACCCAACATCTTCCTTCCTCCCTTTTCTTTACAGGGCAAGTAATCCCCTGCTGGAAGCAGACAGACCCAATCCGCTTTCAGGGGAAAGCAACCAGCCTATGGGGTCATCATCCTATGAACACGCCTCCAACCTCCATGTGGTGGCAAAGATCCTGCCAGTTCTGCTGACTCTCATCCCCTATTGGATGGTTTATTTCCAGGTAGCCACCCTACAGGCACTCCTTCTTTCGTATGGGAAAATGCCCTGACTGACAGGCAATAACGCCAGCAGCAGAGGGAAGCATAGGGGCTTGTTGTGTTTTCAGAGGCAGCATTTAGCTGGGAATCTGAGGAGGATGCCAGTTTTAATTTGCATGTTAATAGTAAGCACTTACTTAGTATTTATTTAGGGATTTATATTCCATCTTTCCCCATTATCTATTTATCTACATGCAATTGTACAGTAAGATTAAACAGTAATAGCATAAAAATGAACTTGTTAAAACTAAAGACGTGCAAGTACGGCAGTGAAAATCCAGCATCAGAAGAAGCTTTTTACTTTAATGGTTTAAGGGAGTTGCCTAGCAACAAAACTACCAAAATAAATGGCCAACAAGCAGCTTCTTTGGGCAAGCCTTCCCTGATTGCAGGGCCATTTAGAAATATTCTCTCCTCACCATTTGCAAGTTTCACCCTGGGGGATCTCCAGAGAAGGCTCTTGATGTTGATTTCAGTGAAAAAGGAAATTCAAACAGATGCATTTTTCTTCTTTGCAGGTTAATGTAATTATTAGAAGATTCTATGTCTCATAGGTGCCTCAGAAAAGAGGTAGCACCTTCAGAAATGTAAAAACCACTTTTTTAGTAGACAGTTTAGATACATTTGTCCTTTCAACCTTAGAAATGTGTACCTAACAATACAAAGTTCTGCCTGATTAATTGGACCAAAGATATGGAGCACTTCACATCTGCTGCAACAGGTTAGTGGGATAATCTGGCAGATGGCTACAACTATTGTTCCAAGGAAATTTTATATTAAACATAATATTCTGCTGGCTTAAGGACTGGTGGATATCGCTTCAGCATGCTGTCTGGCTGTGCCCCAGGGTGCCCCTTGAGGTAAACAAGGCTCTGAGAATGTTCTGCTTATTACGCCTGATTTGCTCGTATGAAGTGTGGAATTTTGTGCAAGCTGGTTGCCCCCCTTCCTGCACTCGAGTCAGACCCTCAAAGGCAGCTGAAGGAACAGTTTTGAGGGTTTGGGAAAGGATAACGTTGCCCAGTTGAAAGATGTGTGTTCTAATGCTAGGTTCTGTCCAGTAGTTGAAGCTGATATCGTGTTTCACTGAATATAAGACTTATCTTGAAAATAAGACCTACCTTGATGTTACATATGCGCCCAATATAAGCCCTACTTAAGACCCTGCCCATTCCAGGGTGCACAGGGTGGGGTGAGTGCACATATAAAAATCAAGCTAGGGTGGGGATGTGGGGGTGGAGCTGCCCTACTGGTACTTACCTTCAAACAGTTATATCCAGGCCTTGTGTGCGTTAATCTGGAACTTTTTTATCAGCTGCAGAGGCCTTTCCTGAAGGTCTCTGATGGCTAAATGAGTCTGGAGAGTGTCACAGGCATCAATCTGTTTCTAAACTGCAGAGGCCTTTCCAGAAGGCCTCTTACAACGAAACGGAAGCTGGTGGTGATGCACACCAGCGACGGCAAGCGGCCATAGAAGAAATGGGCTAAGAGGGCGGGACTGTTGGTGCCACTACCATGAGGTGAGTCAGTAGAAGACATTCCCCCAAAATAAGACCTGGTGTCCTATTTTTATGGAAACACAGTATCTGTTAAATTAAAAAGATGTACTTCATCACCAGCTTACAGTCCTCCTTATACACTTTTTCCATGCTATGTATTTATTTGTCTTGTCAATTTTAGCAATGCTCTGGTGAAGGACAATTAACATTATAATTTGGGGGTGGCAGCCTGTACATACAATGTGAATCCTGGGGTGGTTGCTGCTTTCTGTAGATTGCACATTTGCGGCAATTCAAATTTCATCTTTGAAATGTTGTCTTGAGACAGAGAGGGGAAAAAATCAAGAGAGAATCTTTTAGACATGTTGAAAAAAGATTTCAGCTCATGCCAGGAAAAGAAATTCCCCTTTGTGTTTTTTTAAATATCATTACTCATTCAATTTCACAAAGAACATTTCCTTTGGAAATTCTTTCAAAGAAAAAGAAAGCATTTTAATGAAACATTCAGAGGTGTGGCAGGATATTCTTGCCCCTTAGGCATTAGTTATAACATGGCCAACCAAAATGTGATTATTTTATTGTACATACTTTCTTCTGAATATTTGAAGAAAGGGTTGCCATGCTTCTATTGAATGGTACTGTTGGCATTAAGAGGAGTCCTATACTAAGAAGTGAAAACATAATTTTTTTATTTTTTAATAAATGGACAAATCTTCCACCTAATAATTATGTCCTTAAATTGGATGTCTCAAGGGTGCTTTTTTCAAGAGGCAACTAGACTTTCTGGTTTTTCTTTGAAGAAGTTTTGCTTCTCTTCCAAGAGCTGAGGAAACTTCTTGGATGAGAAGCAAAACGTCTTCAGAGAAAAACAAGAAAGTCCAATTGCCTCTTGAAAAAAGCACCTTTGGGACAACAATGACCTGGACGACTGAGAATCTCCATAGACTTAAATTGGATGAAGAACCTTGAAAGATTAATTGTTTTTCTGGGGTTTTTTTTCTGTTTTCCTTCATACTCACAAGTTTGTTTATTTATTTATTTATTTGATATAGCCATGATTTTACTTAATCTTCAGAGAGAATCCCGCACACTATCTAGCCTGATCATGCAGAACATGAAAATAGTTTGGTTCTTTCCCCCAGATAAATTCCGCCCAGTTGTTAGCAGGAAGGCAGATTCCATTAGGCTTCAGTCCGTGCGCAACTCAAATTAAACCCACTGAATAAATAGTAGGCAGATCCACCTCAATGCTATCAACCTGCCAGGTTTTAGGCATTCTAAATCATTCTGAAATATTTGGTTAGAGAAAAAGAGAAGCCTGCCACTTTCATTTCTCCCCTGATGCCTCTTTACTATTATAGCACAGCAATAAAATTGATAAATGATTGCAATAAACTGAATGAAATGTGCACTTAAAAAAACAAAAAAGGTCTTTTTTTTTTCTATAGTCTTTTTTTTTTAAAGAATTGTAAATCCTTGTTATTTCATTTGCCAAGAAAATTTAGAAGCAATTATCCTAAAGAGATACATGAACAAGGAAAATGAGAAGAGGGCAAAACTACCCTAGATGATCCTTAAACACTTTCTCTCCCTATTTTGGCAACAGGGTTCATCAGAAAGGAGAGCTGTAGGGACAATGTGCTCAGCTATTTGGGTTGAAAAGGTCACCTGTTAAATAGCTGTTGGCTGCTAATGATGTGTCCTGAAAATTGTTAGCTGCTCATTGTGAACAATTGAGTGCTTCCTGCTGAGTAAGCAGAGACTGTTGCAGAAAGTGTAGAAAGAATATAAGGCAACTGGGATAGGAGTGAGCGAACAGTGAGAACTAAGGAGTTTGTTGAAATGCAACACTGCATAAGGAAAGGTTCAGAAAAAGAAGAAAGCTAAGGCAAGAGTGATAAGCCAAAATAAGAAATTACTGCATACTTTAGATTTCAATGTATTTTAGCAAATGTAAGTATGTTTCCTCAGTAGAAGAAGCTCATCAGAGGAGGCAATCAGGATGAATAAGCGTTCCTAGAAACAGAGTGCTAAAAGTGCAATCACAACCATTCTAAAAAGAACAAAATGGGGGTGGGGTGAATGAATGCCAGTAGAACAACCTGTGTGATGGAACACAACACTCTTAAGTGAAAATCAAACAGACTATATAGTAATGTGGTACACACACACACACACACACACACGTCTACTATTCCCACCTTAGGCGTGAAAAACTGATTGGTGACTTTGGGCCAGTCATTCAGTCTCAAATCAACTCTCAGCGTTGTTGTGGGGAAAACAGGAGGAGGAAGGAGTATTAGATATGTCTACCACCTTGAGTTACTTATAAATAATAAATTTGGGGTGCAAATCAAATAAATATAAAGTTTTAGGAAAAACAAATTAAATGAGACAACCTGTGTGTTAATCATCTATGGGTAATAATAACATTCATATCTATGAATGTTGGGGAAAGTTTCTTAGATGGAACAGCAATTCAACAATGAACCAAATATCAAGTCAAGAGAGTTCATTTTTACAAGAAGTGTTCACACAGAAAATTAACAACCATTACTCAGGGATACTTTCATACTTTTCCTATACTGACTGGAGTGGTGGGGCAGGGAGAAGTTGATAGTCTAAACTGTACTTTCCAGCTCATCCTATAATTGCCATATCTACTTACCCATGTTATGATATTACTAAGACCCTATGACAGGACACTGGCATTACCATGTAATAATAAGCCTCACTGTTCCATGAAGAAGAATAGGGTCCTCTGTTAAAGATATAGGATAGGAACATTATTTTTCCCCCAAATAGGTGCCTTTCTAATAGTTTAAACTTCAGTTCCCATCGTCTCCAGCCACTGTGATCAACGGACATTTTAGGTGAGACAATATGGGAATTGGTTTGACATGTCTCAGGCTTGTCAGGTTTAGTGTATGTTGTTTTACTATAGGAGATCTCCGTATAGAAAAACATTTAAGTCTTGTGTTTATTTCTTTAATAATATCACTTTCTATTTTATTTTAGATGCAGTCAACCTACTACTTGCAGGGTCTCCATCTCTCCATCCCCAACTTCTTTCAAAGTAGTCATATGAATGACAGTGCATTCTCAGAAACCATAGATACTGTCTATATGGTAAGCTATGGGGCAGGCGAGTCAGTCGGTTTGAGTTGTTATATTCTAAAACGTTTGACTCATTCCGAAGTATGTTGGCCCTTTCAAATCATAATAAAGGTCCCTCTAATGGAGAAGCTCCAGTGATGGGATTCAAATAATTTCACAACCAGTTCTCTGTCCTAATGAGTTCTTCCAACAACCAGTTCACCAAACTGCTCAGAAAGTTAACAACCGGTTCTCCTGAAGTGGTGCAAACTGGCTGAATCCCACCACTGAGAAGCTCCAAGTGTCCAACAGCTCACATAAAGGGCCACCACTAAATGTAGATGTGTTAAGAAATCAATAGTTGGGTAGAAAGAAAATGATCATTTGTGGAATGAAGCTGTGTGAAACAGATCCTTTCAATTGTCCTTGTCTCCAAGAACCCAAGTCCAATCCCTAGTTTTGTAATCAGGAAATCTCCTGATCAACTGCATATGTCATAGTTAATTAAGATCATAGGCCTTTGGTTACCATATAGATGGAAGAGAAACTGTTCTATTTTCTCTCAAGCCACAAGTTGGGTTATGACAGATAGAGGAATTGCTGAAACATTAGAAGACAGTGTGTATAACTAGGATAGTGAGGATTCTAGAAAACTAATGTTGATGATTTCAATTTTTTTCTCAAAGAGATCTGTTATTTCAGGATGAGAATAAATTGGTTCTTCTTCTTTTAATTTGTAGTCCCATCACCATGAATTTAAATCTAGCTGGTAAATATATTTGATTGCAGTTAAGAGGCTTCTGCTACAATTCATCTGAACCTTGAAGCAATGGTTGCTCATTATTGCCAAGAATCTGCGGAATGTCATCTTGAACCACAACCACATCCAAAATCATACTCCCCCTAAAAATTTAAAAAAAGAGGGGGAAGGGTCCTGCACATATGTGATGCAGCATATCTAATATGAATCTCTGGATCATTCACCACACATCTTTCCCTACTCCAGCTAACAGACGTGACTGTCCCAGTTTACAGAATGGTCTTGCTGGAAGGCTGATTCACATGACTGAAAAATAGGATGTTCTGCTGAAATCTGTTAAAATGTCTGGATGAAAGTCCAAGAATAATCAAGATAAGCTTTTTGCTTATTGCAAATCACTTACAGTGGGAACAGTGTGCTGAAAGCTTCTTGCCTGTATATAATCAATCCAGGATAGTTAGAAGGAGTAGAATATGATTTCAGATGTTCTCTATTTGCCTGGAGGAGAAACAATTTACAAGTCTGGACAAGAATACTGAGAATGTTTGCTAGTTGAAGGGATCTGACATTAAAACAATCAGTGGTACATCAGTGGGTATTCAATTTATAACTCCATCCACATGTCATAGCATTTTTGTATCACTTCTAGTAGTCATTCCTGATGCTTTTTTTTGGTCAATTGCTTACAAGATAATAGGTATAAGTAAAAACATGGTTATGAATACATGGATACATATAAGAACAATAAAAAATAAAAGAAACAATAGGACAGGGACGGTAAGCACGCTGGTGCGCTTATGCATGCCCCCTAGAGGCCTCTTAGGAAGGGGGTGAGGCCAATAGTAGACAGTCTAAGGTTAACATTTTTGGGGTTTGGGGAAGAAACTACAGAGTCAGGTAGAGTATTCAGACATTGACCACTCTGTTGCTGAAGTCGTATTTCCTGCAATCAAGTTTGGTGCAATTAACCTTGAGTTTGTATCTATTGTTTGCTCTTGTGTTGTTATGGTTGCAGCTGGAGTATTCATTGATAGGTAGGACATTGCAATGTATAATTTTATATACTATACTTAGATCGGACCGAAGGCAGCATAGTTCTAGGTTTTCTAGATCTAGAATTTCAAGTCTGATGGCATAAGGTATTCTGCAACAAGTAGAGGAGTGGAGAACTCTTCTTGTGAAATATTTCTGGACTTTCTCAACTGTATTAATATCAGATACGTAATGTGGGTTCCAGACTGATGAGCTGTATTCAAGTATTGGTCTAGCAAATGTTTTGTATGCTCTAGTTATTAGTGTAATATTAGCAGAGAAAAAGCTACGTAAGATTAGGTTAACAACTCTTAACGCCTTTTTGGCTGTTAGTAGTAGGGGATTTGCAAGATATAAGCAGTTGCACAAGTATTGGAAGCATCTGTGAAACTGCATAGATCTATAAATATTACAATTTATTTTTGTTCATTGACTCTTTAGAGATCCAAAAAGCAGCATTGTTCTGTAATGGAAAAGGAATTATGGTTAAGTTGCTAAGCTTGGGGAAATAGGCATTGTGGTTAAGTTGCTGAGCTAGGGGCAAGGGGGCCCAGATTCAAGTCCATAGAAACTGGTTGAATTTCATTCATTACCAAACATCTTAGAAGTGTTTGGGAGATGCAGGATAATATTTACACTCTTCCTCACTCTCTCTTCAGTTTCCAGATGCCTGGCTCCTTCTAGCCAATGTAGTGGTTCTATTGATCCTCATTCCATTGAACGACCGAGTAATAGACCCATTCCTAGCAAAGAAGAAGCTGTTGCCATCAGCACTGAAGAGAATGGCAGCAGGCATGATCTCTGGCCTTGGCTCAGTCCTATTAGCAGGTAAGCACTTCATTCATAAGCTTGTACTAATCCCACATTCCTTACCCCTAAAGCAGGGGGAGGCTAAGATGCTAAAAAAAGAAACACTAGCCATGATTTGATCATGATCTGGTTTGCCTGGCCTGGGGAACCGTAACAATCATATTGGCTTTTGCCATGAGGAAAACCTAAGCAAATCCTCCTTAGAATGAATGGTCTACTCTAAACCAAAAGTGATTAATACACCATTATCATTTAGTAAATTATGAAGTTATTCAATTAATTGGAACAGCTATTATGTATTTCTGATAGATAGACTTTAACCTGTCTCTGGATATTTGTAAAAATCAGTTTATTATTTGTTGTCTGAACATTTTAATTAGCTTAAGAGGAAAAATTCAGTTTCTAACAATCTGTAATGTCTAAAGCTGTAGAATGTATATTCATTCAATTACATCTTTTAAAGTTATAATTTGATCCAACCCCAATAGCTGTACTAAAATTGTTTTGAATGATTTTGAATGTACCGTATATATAGTATATAGATAGCATAGTTTTTAAAAATTTTACTAAGATGAGTATTGGTTATTTGTGAAAAGTTTGGAATAAAATAAATAAACAATGTTTCTATAGTTGTAATGTAAGTTTAATTCAACAAAATATTTTTTTCATATTTATTGCACCCATCAGAACATTTTTTTAAAAAACTATCAACTTCATAATTCTACAAGTATAAAATTATGGAGGAAACACTTAGATATATGGTATGGGTTTGTCCTGTGATTATCCAGTTTTAGGTTGATATATAATACATATATTTGTTAATGACCATACATTTGTTAATATGGTTTTGGGAAGATAAATATAGCTTAAATCTGCTAATGTAATATTGAATTATGCAATTATGAAACCATAAAAAGTACTATGGAAGGTAGGATTTCAATTAGCAGTAAATGTATGAAGAACTGAATTTATCAGGTACAGGATGCTGTAAAAAATGATGTTATGATGAAAGACCACCAGTAAGAGGTGCCCACAGAATCAGATTTTTTTTCAAAATGAACTATAAAAAAAGTTTCCAGAGGAAAAATGGCAGACTGGAGATGGCTTCACAAAACTATGCCAATGGCTACAGCAAACAACAAAGAGTCAATGAGTAGACCAGCTGCTCAGAACCTCTCTGGATATAAGGAGAGGATGGGACAGAGGTGGTATTCAGCAGGTTCTGACCAGTTCTGGAGAATCGGTAATGGAAATTTTGAGCAGTTTGAAGAACCCGTAGCAGAAATTTTGAGTAGTTCAGAATACCACTTCTGACTGGCCCTGCCCCCATCTATTCTCTGCCTCCTGATTGGCGGATCTTCTTTTGTTACCCTACACAGGAGAACAGAGCTGGAAAGCAGGTTAGTGGGGTGGAGAGAGAATGGGAATTTTACAGTATCCTTCCCCTGCCACGTCCACCAAGCCACACCACACCACATCCACCAAGCCATGCCCACAGAACCGGTAGTAAAAAAATTTGAATCCCACCACTAGGATGGGACATGTGCACTCTAAATAGTTGCTCCTCACAAGAAGACCACAAGACAGTAGTCCCCAGTAGATTTTGAGAATTGAAAGACAAGAATAGTCATCCTCCTCTTAAATGTGATCTTTGCCCTTTAAAGGACATTTGGTTTATTAATTTTCTTTTCTAATCACTTTTTAAATTTAATTGTAATTGTAAAGAGTCCTTCCCAAAGGAAATAAATTTGTTTGGACTTTTAGCAAGACATCGTAAAGATTAGCAATTTTAAAAATTAGACACTAGAGGGAACTAAAGATTTTTGTTAAAGAAGAAAAATACATGAGCCAGCTAATTAATTGCGGCTTATAAAATGATACAAAACATTAAAACATTGAAAATACTGATGGACACTTTTGAAAAATGGAATCAGAAGTTAGTATCAACAATGTGAATAGTAATCCTTGCTTCTATGGATAGACTGTGTCGAAAAGATGATATGGAAGTAATGGTAGGCATGGAATAAGTTGTATTTGAAAGACAGAGATGGCATCAGAAGGGATTCTTCCAACAAAAGTGACATGGAAAACAATGTCTCACTGGACATGCAAAAGAAACCAGTTAATGATAGGAAATGATAGGAAATGATAGGAAATGATAGGAAAGAGCTAACTCTTTCTGAATTAGCTTTCTAGTGACATAAAGGAAAGATGGGTTAATATTATTCTATGTGATCAAAGTGTAATGCAATGCTAAAAAAAAAAGCCCTCTGATTTCATCTTGTTTCTTCCTTTCCTATTGTTTGTGGGGTTTTTTTCTTTTTATTTCCATCTTCTTGCTTTCTCCTTTGTATATTAGAGTAAACAAAGCTTTAAAAATCTATTTCTCCTTACTGTTAAATGGAATGTTGGCTACCTTTGCTTCTGCACCTCAAAAGAAAGCAATGCAAACATTTCTGCATTGTATGAAAACGTTACTCGTGTAATTGTTGAAATTGTTGCCCCAACAATTTCTAAAATCAGCTCTACATCTACACTGAAAAATACAGCAGCCTGTGTATTAGCAAATCAAAATTACTGTAATCAGCTAACACTGTTTTACGATTACGGCACTACTTACCAGTAGCTTTCCTGGTGCAATTCAAAGTGCTATTTTTGACCTATAATAAGCCCTTGTAACACTTGGCACCAGGGTACTTACAGGATTCCTTTTCTCTGTAGAAGAAGCTAGCTCACCCAGCACTACCATCATCTTTTAATGCATCCTAAATTCACAAATTGAAGGCTCATGGACAGTTGTAACTCCCATATTATGGAATAATCTTCCTCTGAAAATTAGGTTACTTCCTTCATTGTTAGCCTTCCAGAACAAAGTAGTCCTGGGCAGTGGTAGGATTCAAGTTTTTTTACCATCGGTTCTGTAGGTGTGGCTTGGTGGGCGTGCTTTGCACGTGCACTTGGCGTGTGCGCAGCGGGTTTGCTACTGACCTTCTCCTGCAATTCTGTACTCTCTCTGTGTGTTAAATAGCTAATGTGCAGCAATCTGCTATGCTGCGCGAAGCAGCTGAGCTTCAAAACTAGGAAATAAAGATCAGAATAGAACCAGGGCAGGCAGGCAGTCCCAGCAGCTGATCGTCAGAGAGAACCGGTTCACTCACAGATGATCCTTGGAGCTACCAGTTCAGCCAAACTGGGCCAAACCAGTAGAAGTACCACCCCGGGTCCTGGGGAGATTTGTACAGGGAATAGTCATCATGATGCACTTATATTGTTGTAGATCTTCTTTTACATTGATTTTCAATCTTTTTTTGAGGCATGATGTATAATGTAAGGAGCTATTTTTTTAAGTCTGGCAGTATAAAAATGGAGTCAATCAATCAAGTAGTTAATAGGCACCTGACTCAAGGGAAACAATGTCTTCATTCTGTATGGTACTGCCTGTGCCTCAGTAATTAAGAATCTTGATCATTAATGTTTAAGGCAACATAGTTATATACTCTCCGGGGACTGAATATTCAAGTGCCTGGCATCCCAACCTGTCTCTGATGACAGCCCATAGCTGTTCTGAGGATGTTCCAGTGATCTCCTTGGACCCCATCAATCTCTTACCAAGTCTACATCCCTCATCCTTGCCAAACATAATCTGTTCTTCTAGTTCTTCGTGTGCTTTATGTGGGGGATGTGAGCAAAGCAGCGTCCTGATTTCCAGTTAAAATGTTGAATGGTCTGTCCTGAAAAGTTGTTCTGAAAAGTTGTTAGTTGTTCTGCAGTCTGGACACTTGAGAACATGAAAGAAAAAAGATACTTTCACATTGTAGTTTTGGAGATGGTTATTCATTGTACCATAGACTGAAATGAGAACAAATTCTGGACCAAATTAAAGCTGTGCACATGAGGCGCGGATCAGCCCGCAGAGTGTGCTGAACTGTGAAGTGCATCATGTGGTTCCTTTTTAAACAGGCTATACTGTTTTGGTTACTGATACTTTAATTGATATACTACTAAAACTCTCATCATGGCTTTTAACCGGGAGAAACAGTGCATCATAGGGAAATGGGTTTTCAACCATGGTACCTCAACTGGATTATTTTACAGAATATGTCTAAAATCCACGACTCCAGAGGGAATGGAATTTGGGGAAGTTGTGGCTGCTTTAGTGTTACTGGCTGCTGCTGCACTGCTAGGCTACTACTGAGGTTACATGATCTTCATTTTCAAAGTTCCATAATAGTTTTCCAGCCAGTCTCACAATCCCTTCCTCCCTCCCCCACCCATCAGCAGTTACTTATCTGCCTGCCGACAAGGAAAGGGAAAGGGAGGGAAGGGAAGGGAGGTTTCCAATGCTCCCTGCCAGATTTGCACATGGAAACTCAAAGGGGAAGCAAGCAAGATGTTGGAAGATGCTCCTGCTTTTTGTCCAACCTTGTTCATTGTATTTCTGCTTAGAGTAAGGAAATATCTCTGAAAGAATAACCCAATGGGACATGAGTTGTCTAGTAAGTATTTTTATACCTATAAATATTTTATACCTAATATTATGAAGATATGAGCACTTATTTTCTAATTTTTAAAAATCTGCGTCATCTATGATAATGTTCTTCACAATATCTTATTCTGGTCCAAATGCTTTGCTCCTATCTAGGTTTCCTGGAGACTAAGCGGCTGCGATATGTGAACCACAACCAGACAATCTCACAACGAATTGGGAAAGATGAATACTTTGCAGCCCCACTCTCCATTTTCTGGCAAATCCCTCAATATTTACTCATTGGAATCAGTGAAATCTTTGCCAGCATTCCGGGTAAGCCAGGGAACAAGGTTTTATTAACCCTGTTGTTCCTATGTCAGCATTGATCCGAATGTAGTGCAGCTAGTTGCACCAAAAGATGAAAAAACACAGAGTTGCCATCATGACTTCAGCTCTTGAACTATCCTTTAAAGCAGGGGTCTCCAACCTGAGCAACTTTAAGCCTGGCGGACTTCAAGTCCCAGAATTCTGGGAGTTGAAGTCCGCCAGGCTTAAAGTTGTCAAGGTTGGAGACCCCTGCTTTAAACCTATTTTAAACGTGCTTCTCTACCTTGCTAATCCTTTGAATTCTTTCTACTTTTCCAGGGCTGGAATTTGCCTATTCTGAAGCTCCCAGAACCATGCAAGGAGCAATTATGGGTCTTTTTTTCTTCATTTCTGGAGTTGGATCTCTTTTAGGATCTGGCCTCCTTAGTTTACTCTCCCTGCCAACCAATGGCTGGATGTATTGCCCAGAAGATTTTGGTGAGCATGTGCCATACTCTTTAGCCCCTTTCTCCACTAAGAAAAATAGAGAAGCCATTCAAAGAGTTTTCACTGTTCTCCAGCAAAGCCAAACATCTTGTGGTAAAGGAAGGTAGACTGGAGGAGACTTAGAGAAAATTATTTTAAAATGTGTTGTCAAGACTGTTGTACACAAGGGATTCCTGGACCTGTGAAGGCTGCAGAAGACATCTTTCTGCTGCTGTATACTAAAGGCTCTCTTGCTCTCTCTTTCTTACCTAGGAAACATCAACAAATGTCGGATGGATTATTATTTCTTCCTCCTAGGTGGGATTCAAGCGGTAACATGCATCCTCTTCATGATCATCTCCGTCCGCTATGAGCGTCAACGTCCCATCAGCTGAGAGAACAACTGATCGCATTTATCAGGACTGCAAGAAGGCACACATGCTCTCCAGTTATCATGAGGTTCAATGCTATGGCTGTGGTAGAAAATTAACCGATTCAAATGTTGTGAAGATTATATGAATGAAAATTAAGATAAAGTAATCCAGATGACCAACAATGGCAACTAATCAGGGTACTAAGAACTCCAGTTCCTTAGTCGAGGTGTTAATGTTTTCCGGAAACTCAATATGAACAGTGGAGTTATGGGAAGCTTGAAGCTAAGATATTAACTACTGAATGTAAGTGAAACAAATCATTTCTTGATCCATCAAAATGGTTCTTGCCCCTCTTAGTACTTCCAATTTCCTTTGAGCTGAACCATTTTGGGGGGAAACAAAATTAAATCCTTTAAAAAAGGAGAACGTCATACATAACTGTATATACTTGTACATAGACATTCACATAATTTGGGGGTGTGAAAATCATCAGAAGCTTCTGATAGTTTCCAGCCAAATATCAGTGTTGCAAATGTAGATTTCATGGGGATCACAAATGTTAAGTCGCAGGAAAGGTCGACTCGAGACCAGTGTGACTTCAGCTCTTTTTTAGTTTCTTTCAAGACTGAACATGCCACAGAGCCACGGCAGCCTCTTTTATCGCGGCTGCTCATGGCTCGCAGCCAATGATGGCTCCTTGAATTTGCCGCCGTCAGACAGACCAATCACAAGTACATAAAATGGACCAAACAGAAGCAGTATTGACGGGCCAATCAGAAGGCAGTATTGACGGACCAATCAAAAGGCAGTATTTCGAGTATGCAAATATATAACACCAAATATGAAATAAAACCTTGTATTTATAGCTAACTTTTGTTAATGTAATAGGAAGGTACTAGAAGTTTCCTTTTCAGCAACCTACCTCAATCTTAAAGATGCATATTACCAGTAGCAGCATTTATTTTTTAAATAAATAATGCATTGTCCTTCATCTGTGGACATGCAAATCTTTGCTTGAAAGTACTGTTAAGTTTTTGATCTGGACTGGAACATTAAACCTACTGTATTGGGGTTGCTTATTTCAGATTCAGTTTCCCAGGCTTTCAATTTGCTCTTGAATTTTTAAAACTCAAATTAGTGTTAACTCTAAAATTTCATGCTTGGTAGTTCACTAGTTGTTAGCCTCATAAAGTAGACCAGATTAAAAACAGATATCAAATGAGGCCTAAATCTACTTTTATTAAAACAGCTACAATAACTAAATCTTGTGCCTCCCATCTTTCCTCTTCATGTGAATAGAGAGGGGAGTGGGAGAATTGTCTGAGGTGCTTTTGTAAATCTCTTTTTTGGCCTGGACTCAAGCCACACTTGTCTGATTGTTGCCTTGGTAACAGATCTTCCTTCTGTCTTTCAAGATCATCTTGGGTACTCTCCACACTTGTATAATCCTAGACATAACCAGGCGTATAGGACTGATGAGAGGTAAAGCTATTTTAGCAGTAACATGAAATTTAATCTTAAAAAATGCAATCAATGACCTGTAGTTTACTACTTTATTTGAGGAGACCCTAGGAAGGAGAAGGGGAAGGTTTGCTTGGAGCTGACAGTTTTTAAATGCAAGAAGTCTAGAAACTGTTTTATAGAAGAGAAACATTTTAGCAGATACAACGTGTGTTGGGTATATGAATACTCCAACTGGTTTGGGTTGAATAAATATGTAAACCTAGATTAAAGTGTCTTGTAGCTTTAAGCACAAGAAACTGCAATGTCATTGTGGGTGCGGTTGCAGGCAGTAATATAGGTAGGAGGGGAAACGTAATAGCCCCGGCTTCTGGATGCAACTGTCTGAGTCCGGCTTCTGGATGCACCTGGTTACTGTTCCAGGTCTGCTGTCTGCTGTGTTGGTCTATCTGCTTACTTTGGAGGCTACTGTGCCAGATACCAAATACAACTGAACACAAGGACTGTTTACTGGTGAGCTGTGGATTCAGCGTTAGTACTTGAGAGGAAGGTATCTTAAGAAGAAGATATACAAGCAGATAAAGACATTGTATTTACTGTTTAATGGACTTGATAACTGGATAGATAAACTGGATACTGATATATGGACTGAATGACTATTCTTAATCTCTGTATGAATTAAATATCTATTTACAACCACAAACAGTGTTTTTGTCTCAAGTGTGTGTATACTCTAGGGCCCAGCCTCATTCTCATTTGGCTGCCTGGCTTGACTGCTGCTGCACACTCTGCTAGGGGGTTTATCCCCAAACACTAACAACGTGGAAGGATATGAAAAGCAACATTTCCAAAAGCTCTCTTGCTTGTACACTTTGGAAAAGGACAAGGGCTGAATAGTGAACCTGCAAGTCCCCATTGCACTTGGTGGAGAAGTGAATCCGATATAGCTACTAGTAAGCCTAGGGAAGCAGCAACCATACATACATCAGTTGTGCGATTTAGACACCAGCGATATCACCCAGTATGTTATTGCCCTCAATTTTATTGAGCACTATTGTTTAGTTAGATGCTACACCCTGCATGATGTTGATTTAGCAATTCTCATTCTCCACCAACTCACAGTGCATGTTCGTACATGTCATAAATCCATTTCTGTGTTTTCCTTTTCTATAAGCTGCCTCCTATTTGCAAAGATTAGTAAATAACTAGATAGAGCAATGTTTCTCAACCTCAACCATTTTGAGGGGGATGAACTTCAATTTCCAGAATTCCCTGGCCATCCCTGCCTTGGGATGCATCTTAAAAGAAACTGAGGTTGAGAAATGCTGATATAGAGAGTTCTTTGCTAGGAATTGATTTTATACTAGTCCTCGACTTAACATCAGAATTAGCACCAGCATTTCTGTTGCTAAGCAAAGTGGTCACTAAATGAGTCACACCCAATTAGCAAATCTGGCTTTCTCCATTGGCTTTGTTCATCGGAAGCTGGCTGGAAAGTTCGCAAGTGATCACCTGATCTCGGGAAAATGCAACCACCATAAATACATAGTGGTGGGATTTAATTTTTTTTTACTACCAGTTATGTGGGCGTGGCTTGGTGGGCATGGTGTGCTGTGGCTTGGTGGGCATGGCTTGGTGGGTGTGGCAGGGGAAGGATACTGTAAAATCCCCATTCCCTCCCCACCCACTAACCTGCTTTCCAGCTCCATTCTCCTGTGCAGGACAACAAAAGAAGACCCAGCCAATCTCGGGAGGCAGAGAATAGATGGGGGCAGGGCCAGTCAGAAGTAGTATTCCAAACTACTCAAAATTTCTGCTACTGGTTCTCCAGAACTGGTCAGAACCTGCTGAATATCACCTCTGAATACATGCCAGTTGCCGAGTGCTCAAATTTTGATTGAGTGAGCCTGGGGATACTACAAGCATCGTGAGAACCGGTTATAAATCATTTTTTTCCAATGCTATTGTGCAAGCAGTTCCTCAACTTTCGACCACAATTTAGCCCAACATTTATGTTGCTAAGTGAGAAATCTGTTAAGTGAATTTTGCCCCATTTTACAACTTTTCTTGCCACATTTGTTGAGTGAATCACTGCAGTTGTTAAGTTAGGAACATGGTGGTTAAGTGAACCTGGTTTCCTCACTGACTGCTTGTCAGAAGGTTGCAAAGGGGGATCACATGACCCCAGGACACTGCAAATGTCATAAATGTGAGTCAGTTGTCAAGCATCCAAGCGTGAGTTTGGGGAATGCTGCAATGGTCATGTGTGTGAAAAACAGTCCTAAGCCACTTTTTTCAGTGCAGAGTTTCAGAAGTTACAATGTTGTAACTTCAAACGGTCATTAAGTGAACTGTTGTAAGTCAAGGATTACCTGTACATTGAAAGGGTAGCTAAATGAATGGCTGTAAGTCAAGAATTACCCATATTTGTAGTTTAAACTACCTTCTCGTAAAGAAAGTTTAACTAAAATTATGCCGAAAGCTATTCAGAGGATCTGCATTGCAACAGTGATGACACACTGGCCTTAGGCTAGGATCAAGTCCACAATTATTCGGAATGAAAAGAACTGTCAGGTGTCTGGATTTAATCCCCGCAGCAGAGATGACAACTACTCTATTACCAAGGAAACGCAAATAAACCAGACTGCACAAAAAAGACACACCTTTCATGTTTAGTTATTATTTATTTTACTTTTTTTTTTTAACAATGTAAGAATTAAAAATCTTCCATAAATAAAGGACTTGCCTGACAGCCTCCCAATAGTACGGTATAAAATATGAGCGATTGTACAAAACTTTTAAGGACATCAGGCAAACAACCAGGGTGGAAAAGGCCCAGCTGGTGCTCCCTGGAGCTCTGTCCTTGCCCAGAGGGATCAGGGGATGGGGGGGGGGATGGGGGGGAATAGGGGCAGAGCCCCAGGCTCAGACCACAGGAAGGACGGAAAGACACTTGTCGTTCATACCATCACAATGGACACACACTGGCAATGGGGGTCAACGTAACATGTGAGGTCTTGGATCAGCCCCCTAGATCACCTCCACAGTACATCTCAGCCAGCCTACCTCTCACCTGCAGCTACTTTCCAGTCTGCAAACTCCTCATCCTCACCTCCTAAGGGGGTAAAGGGAGGAGCAATGAGCACAGATGGGCAGTCTTCCCAGGAGGAATGTGCTAGTTCTGCTGAGAGAATAACAGGTGGAGAGGATGCCTCTAACCAGAATGAAGAGGATAGCGCAGCCAAGGAAGTAAATCTGCAACACAGAGAGCAACAGAAATATCTCTGGCTCATTTTCTCCTCACAAACTAGTCCAAGGCTGGGTGTCCTGTGGTGGAGAGCCCTTATTTAAAAAGAAGCAGGTAGAGAGTTCAGCTGACTGATCCTAGGAGAGCACCTAAGGGGGTGACCATCTTATTGGTTTGCCCACATGAACGGGCCAGGGCAGATCAGGAGCTACCTCGAATCCTTTCCATGTAGCTGCGCAGCTCATCTGGGTCACGCAGCCCCATGTCCTCACACACCCAACGAATGTCATCTTCGCTGGCTACCAGGATGGACTGAACTACTGGTCCAGAAGCAGGGGGGCTGGGAGCAGAGTTGGACGGGGAAGCAAAGGTCACAAATTCTACACGCTTCCGCCGACCCCCCGCATCCCTGCCCTCTTTCTTCCTGGACAAAGTGCTGCTAAGCACTGGGTTCCCTTGTGCAGTCAGGCCCAAATTATTAGCAGAGACCCCCATTTCTGGTTCTGGTAGTGGAACTGGGGCCTCTGGGGCCAAAGCCTCCAAAGTTCCATCTGGTCCTGCACAGCAAGGGTACCCATCATTGGGTACCGAAGGGCCCCGAGGCTGGTCTTTGCAGGGTTGCTTGCACAGATCCAGCTGCCGACTAAGATCCTCCTGATCGGTGCCTAGCCAGACCCAATTGTGAGGCTGCTGGGCAGAAGAGGCTGGGCCAGATCCAGCATCAGGAGGCTCCTTGCGCTGATAACGGAGGACAAAGATGACACAGTTGACGAGGAAGATAAAGATGGCAAGGCAGAACACACCCAGGAGGACGTACATTCCAATCTCTAGATCTGTCACCCTT